TGGATGAACAAAAAAAAAAAAAAAGAAGAATGTAGAATCTGCAAAACACCACATAACGTGGATAACCTTGGAGGACATTATGCTGAGTGAAATAAGTCAATCACAAAAGTATGAATAATTGTATTAGTCCGTTATTGTAAAAGTCAAGGAAAGATTTATCTATGGAAGGAAATTTTCTTTGTTGGTTACCAGGGGTCGGAGGGGAGGGGAGGGAACGCTGTTTAGATAGAGGTAAGTATTGATTTGGCTGAAGAGAAGGGCGATGTACCAAATGTGAGTGATCAATATGGTGGCACTGAGGAAGAGAAATACAGAGAGAGGGTACATGGGAGGTACAGACAACAAATATGAACCCTTTTACACATACAGTACTGCATTGTCAGTGAAGGCAAACAATGGGTATATGGGTGGATAGATGGGTGGACAGGCTGAACCAGTAGGTATGTCTATGAAGTGGAGAGTATACCCAAGACCAGGTACAGGGATGGCAGACAACTGTCCCATAAATTTATTTGTATGATCTGAATTCCCAGGTATACAGTAGAACTGACAGTGGGCAAGGTTGTAGTCACTTCTTGGTCCCATCCAGCTAGCCAGAGGGACTGAGTAGTTGAACCTGTGGGCTCAGGACCATAGTTGCAGGGGACATGGAGCTCAATTGGCATAACATACTACACAAAATATTGTTCCATCTCCTACTCTGGCGAGTAGTGACTGGGATCTTAAAAGCTTGCAAGCTGCCCTCTAGATGCAACGATGAGTCTCTCCTTGTCCAGAGCAAAGAAGAATGAAGAAAACCAAAAATCCATGGAAACAATTAGTACTAGCGACTAGTACACCATCTGATCTGTAGTATATACGACTATGAGACCAGAAGAACTAGATGGTGCCTGGCTACCACTGTCAACCACTTGAAAGGGGATCTATATAGGATTCCCTAGATAGAGAGGGAGAACAGTGTGAAACAAAACTCAAATTCATTTGGAGAAAAAAAAGGTGGGGGGGACCAGGATTCCTGGTCCAATAGAGCCTGGTGGAACCACTGAGACTATGGCCCCTAGCTGCCCTTCAGGTCTGGAATTGAACCCACACCTGTGGCTTCCAGCCAAACATAAGACAGGCATATGAGTTGAACATTTACCCCAGGTAGATACACTCCTTGGAGAGAACAATCATGGGAAAAAGAAGGGCTGCTTATGCACAGGGGGAGACAGCTCAGGGGGCAGGAGTGCATGGAGGGATGGACACAGGGAAGAGATAAATATCGGGAGGAAGTGGGAGGGGAGCTGTTGCATTCTGGTAAACTGTGGTCAATGTCATGAGAAAAAGTATATGTGAACTGCTATATGGAAAAGTGAATTTATGGAAAAGCATATGGAAAGTGAATTTTCTCTGTAAATTTTCACCCAAATCATAATTAAAAAGATCTCCAAGATAGAGAGATTCAGAGTCAGGACTAAAAAATAAATAAATAAATAAAATGACTTACTGCACTGAGGAAATGTGCTACAAAACACCTCTTGAAACTGTTGAAAACAAATATGTCACTGTGAAGACTAAGGTGCGCCTGACCTAAGCCATGGTATTTTCACTAGCTTCATTCATATGCATGTGAGAGTTGGACAATGAACAAAGAAAACCACAGAAGAACTGATGCATTTGAATTGTGGTGTTAGCAAAGAATACTGAATGTACCATGGACTGCCAGAAGAACAAACAAGTCTATCCTGCAGGAAGTACAGCTGGAATGCTCCTTAGAAGCAAGAATGGCCAGGCTTCATCCCTCATACTTTGGTCATGTTGTCAGAAGGGACCAGCCCTTGAAGAAGAATATCATGCTTAGAGGGTCAGGGAAAAAGGGAAAGACACTCAATGAGATGGATTGACACAGTGTCCACAATAATGGGCTCAACCATGTCCAGCATGGCAACAATTGTGAGGATGGTGCACAACCAGGCAGTGTTTCATTCTGTTTTACAGAGTTGTTCCATGAGTCAGTGACAATAACAGCAGCCTCCAGAACTGAAACCATCAATTTCTGTTCTTACGAATTCTGTGTTATCCCTAGGATCACCTTGTTGTCTCCTTCCATCACCCAGCACAGTACACAG